GGGTAAAAAAAAAGATTTTTTTTTTTCAGTGCTGTCCTTTACCCCCTAAGGAAGCCACTATTAGATCTGTTAATGGTTGGATTATGCTAGTTAATCCAATTCTTTGATTTTGAAGAAAGATTAAGCCTGTCTACAGAAGGTGGCGCTAAATTAATGTAAAACAGTTCCCACAAACACTGGGTAAGAAATGCTTTTACGCAGAGCGTACAATAAACCAACAAACACTGTTTAATCATGCAGTTAATTAACACCACAAACTGTGTGAAAGTTCACCTGTGTTCATCCTTAACCACTTAGTTGTAATAGCTGGTACCAAAAAAAGCCTGGCTATTTGAATATTCAAGCTTAATTGCCTTAGCCAATTCTGCTATCAGTTTTGAAGGATGAAATAAGATGTTCCTGGCATTCATTTATTTTTAGTTTGCTAAGCTGACACAAAGCTACGAAAAGTTACAGTTGCATCAATTAAAACAAGAGAAAACTCACAGCATGGAGAAATGTACGGAAAACCAAGAAGCACCTTTTCAGCTGAACAGTTTAAACCAGAAATTGGAGGTAAGAATCTCTATTTGGAGTAGTGCCTTCTTTTGGACACCCTGTACTCCAAGATCATCCATGGAGGTCTGCTGTGAGTGGTCCCATAAGCTAGGAAAGCATATGATGTAGCTATGGACAAAGACAAGGGACAGGAAGGGGAGATATTATTTCTCTGGAGACCTGCAGGGCTAACTCTCTTTTCATCTTTCATTGGGTGGGGCGTTCTTTGGATGCACCCTGAGAAAAATTGATTCTAGCTTCTGTTTCTTTGTTTTGTTTTCAGGCTCAGAAAGTGAGGGCGTGTTTGTCATTTAATTTCCGATGGCAAACTTGAAGTACAAGCAGTTAATCTGTGTCATAGGAACTTGACTCAGGTGTAGGAAGGTCTGCCTCTCCCACCTGTTCTGATTGCCCCGTTCATTGGCAAGCCGCAGGGTGGGGTAGAACATGGTATACCTGATGACATAAGATGTACCATGATATCATTTGGGCAATGCCATCATGAAGTATGTTATTGTAGCTTCCGTCAGACGCTTGTGGTCCTGTCCAGTAGTCTAAAATCAAAAGCACACCAAGATATTACAAGGACAGGAACTTGGTCATGTACTTGGAGTGGGTTAGAGTAGCACTTTGGATTGAAGTTGGAACATATTTACCAATCACACCTTATTAATACCATACACCTTTTTAGACTTAAGGTAACTAAAGATTCATTTGAAAAGCTGAAAGTAACTTTGCATACACCTATTACTTTTATAAACTCTGATCAACACTTGTGTTGGGCTGCATGAACTCCAGGGTTATAAAAGTTGCATTAATAAAGTAAATGAATAAATTTACTAGGGACAGAAATGTAATGAGTTTCTTAGGGGCAGGGTGAGGGGAGTGCTCAGATGCCAGCTTAAGTTGGGAACAACAGATTTATATGCCCTGGGTATAAAAGATTGCTTGATACATTATTTGGGTAACTGCAGTTTGGAGGGAGGGAGGGAGTTACACTCGTCAATGGATTCTTAGCACATGGAGACATTGATGGGTATTGCTCACTGAGCATCTTCATTCAGTAGTGTTTAATTGCTGATTTGCTACTGGATCTGCTGCTGGAGTTGTCCTTGTGCCATAGAATCTGCATTTTGCCAACCCAAATTTACAACAGTTTCCCCAGAGCTGCTTCAAAAGACAATGGTTTCAGAACAGACTACATGTATTTCTGTTCTCCATGGCAGAAATAGCTGAATGAAATTTCAAAGGCAGTCTTGTCTTTTATTCAGTAAGGGATGAAAAAATAGCTGTTGCATTTGTTCTTAGCTTGAAAACAAAGCAGGGAAGAGCTGTTTACTGGCTTCTGAAAAAGCCACAGAAAAGTGCAGGGCTGCAGAACTTTTACTGCAGAAAAGAATGAGAGAAAACCCCATTGAAGGGTGTGGTTTGAGTATACTTGTCTTTGGGCTGGAGAGACAAATTACTGGTTCTATCATGTATTCACTATCCCCCTATCCATCATTCTCCCTGCTGGAGGTGGATGTGGTGGATTCTGGAATGGTGTTCAAAAATCCCAGGACAAATGTATTGTGGGAATTTATCATTGGAGATGCCTTTGGAGATCCATCTGGGAACATCATGTCTGGTATGACATCCTCCCTATGACTCTCTGTGTCATTGACTCAACACACTGAGCTGGGTGTTTTCCACTGAGGGCAAATCTGGAGGTATGGAATTAAGAGGTTCTCCCTGAGACCATTGACATGGCCAGACTACTTTTGATGAAATTTAGATTAATATCTTCTTCACTAGGATGGTGGACTTAAGAAGGTGGTCTTGTCTAAGAATTGTGGATGTTCATATGTAATGATTGATTGATAGGTATACTATCAAAGTCCAATACACACTTTAGGGTGATAAAATAGAGGGTCTATCAATGCAGTTATTTGGTAGGGATATCAATGCTATAAAACAGGCAAAACAATAGGTGAGTAACAAATGCCCCAAATCTCATACTGCATATGATCAAACACAAGTGAAAGCACATTATCATGTCCAGTTGTGACAGTGCATCCTCGAGTATTCATCCAACAGAGCTATTCCAAGAGGCAAATAGGTTATTAAGATGAAACCTAGCAGGGATATGATGAAGCTATCAAAGGCCTGCTGTGACCGGTTTGCAAGACCCTTCAAGGATAAAATTGCTCTTACCATCTCTGACTTTAATGTCGGCATGGATAATTCCAATGGAAAGGCCCATTGTAGACGCTAAGTGAGCCCCATCACTCCACTTTGGGGATTGATTGCCTACCTTAGCCTATTGCTCTGGATAGCTTTCCAAGCAGGGGACCCATAAGTCAGATATGGTAATATTTTGGTACATACCCAGGAGTACATTCATAGTGGCATCACAACACAGCTCTCCTCCTCTGTGGGATCCAACAGATGAATCAAAACTAGAGGAATTGCAGCCCAGCTTCATTGCTTTGGGCTGATTTATATGAGCAAGGGCAGGCTCTTTGTTATTTAAAGGGCTGGTGGAGGAGGAAGCATAGCTCGGTGTGAGAGTGCATTTTTGCATGCCAAGCATTTTGAACGCTTACGTGCTAAATATTATTAATGGTGGATAATGTGTTTTGCACCTGGCAAGGACTATCTAAATTGCTAATAATAATGCATTATACAAGAACTTTTAAGTGCAAAGGTCTTTACACTGAACATTGTACTGGTTGTTCATTTTCAAGAAGTATAAAGAGAAAGTAGGTATTCAGTAATCTGATTAATTTCTTTGTGCTGCTTTTCTCTTTCAGGAATTTAGAGCAAAATCAAGAGAGTGGGATAAGCAGGAAACACTGTATCAAAATCATTTAGTTTCTTTAGATGCTCAGCGAAAATTATTGTCTGAGAAATGCAATCTGTTCCAGGTACCATTCTTTCACTTCTCAGACAGGAATTGGAATTAAATGAACCATGAAGCCTAGATAAATACTTAACAGAAAATATATATATATACCCACACGCATTTTCCAAGCCTTAAAAATGAATATGTAGATATCTTTGCAAATTAGGCTCATCACATTTATACATTCCAGGAATGTGGTGCTATAGGAATGTTTTTTTCTTGTATAAGCAGACAAATTGCATTTTTAATAGCAAGTATCTCAGTCACCTCAAGTGCTTTTTCTACTCACTGTTTTCCCTGCAACTCATATACATATTGGTGGGGGTGGGCATGCTCTTACAATTGGTTGTTTGGACTGCAAGCTCTTTGGAATAGAGACTGTAACATGCCAATAAAGCAGTGCAGCTCTCCTTAGCCAGTGACTTCCAATAAACCAGACATTACTTCTGTCAGAACTGTGTGTCAAAGATGGCAGCAGCTAGGGGACATTCCCTACTGCTAGGTAAAGGTATTCTCCATCCATCCTTGAGTCACGCCCCACAAAGAAAATATTGACATAAAATCTGCTGTCCCCATGGCCAGTCCCTGTCTTGCCTCTATTCTCCGTAGCTGAATGGTGGTGTTCTGACTGGGGAGTATACCGCAGTGGGATTGATTCTGTCCTCTTAGTGGCTGCAGTCTCCTTTCAGCACAGCACCAGCTAGCAGAGAAAACGTCCATCAAGCAGGGCTCTGCAAACAGGAATGGGAAGGATCTGATTTCTCTAGGTTGATTTGTATGCCTCTCCTCATATGCCCAGTTTGGCACTTCCCAAGCAAAAAGACTGTGGAATGAAGAAATGTATAGGAAAGCACCAGGGCAGAAATAGCCCTGAGAGGAAAGAGGCAGAATCCCTACCACAACTGGGGAGCTAGCTAAGTCCTGCAAAATGGAAGAGGTGAAGCCAACTAGCTGCTGGCAAGCATTCTTCTTCAAACCCAAGGAAAGTGGCAACTAAACCCAGACCTGCTCCATCTTCTTCTCCAGATCAAATAGTGAAGGTTTGCTCTCCTTTCCTCTACCTTGTTGGAAACCAAGAGAGAAAGAAGGGAGGGAAAGGGAGGTCATAGGTCTTGAAGGAATTAATGAAATAAAACGCTACTAGAAAAGGCAAAGGCTGGATGAAAAATGGCTGCAATGGAGGCTTACTGGTGCCCCGAGGGAAAGAGGCATATCCATGCCTCTTAACAGTCCCACAGCTTACTCTAAGGGTCACCTACTGCTGGTCACCTGACTTCACTTGCAAGCTATTAGGTGGCAAAGTATAACAGATATTATACCCCTTGAAGCTATCTGTGGATAGTGTTGAAATAAAAGGGAAAATACTGCCTTTCTACCAGTACAGCTATATGGTGACTTAAGCCTGTCTCACTCATAGTTCTGGGGAGGAAAGAAGGACAACTTTATGCAAACAACAAGGAAAAACTGCTGTGAAGGCACAACTTCTGTTAGTTGGCCAGAGTTGCTGCTTGTGAGATGGAGAGCCATATAAATTGACTGAAATAAATTTATCTTGCCATGGTTAAATGCAAAGGGGACATGGCCTTGAAGAAAGAATGAAGCTACAAGATAAGGACACGAACTGTCCGGGTTGTAGCAAATTCCTACAATATGGGAAGCACAGGATTGGAGGAACTTAAGCTTCCCTTAACATTTGGGTTTTTTGTAACTCCGTTCCCCAGCCACTTCCTCCTTTTGGGGGTTGATTCTGGTTGTAAGAGCGACTGGGTAGAAACAATAAGACAGAGCATCATACTGTGTATTAGATCTGCATTTCTTCCTCACTCGATGGAGAATTAGTTGCCACATGTTGATGTATTCATCATAGTTGTAGTTTTTTCCCATGTGGTCTCATTTCAGGAGATCATTGGGCTCATAGGGAGAACTTTGCTCTGTTGGAAGTTTGGACTAGTCCCAGACTGAGTCATGATTGGTACTACAAGAACATTTCATATACATCTTCTAACATGAATTTGCTTTAAATAAACTTGCAGTTCTCAAGGACCAGATTTCTATAGCAGTATAAATTTCTGCATAGAAGAGAAGATACCGTTGTTCCCAAAGCAATTAATTTCATGCAACTGTTTTCTTTTTTTTGAGAAACAAGCACAAAATTGTAAAATCCAAATACACTGTCAAAAACTGAAGCAAAATGATGGGGATACTTGCAGCCAGTACAGAAATGAGCATCTCGGTGTCCAGAACTGTGTTTTTACTGAGCCCACAAATAGGAACGAATTCTTTATGGAAAAACTTGAATCAACTGTGAGTGAAATAGCAGTGAGCAGAAACAGACTACAAGAGGAAAACTTAAAGCTCCAACAGGAAGTAAAAATGTACCAAAGAAAATGCCAGGTAAAGAGCCAGCAATTTGCTAGTTGTTATTTTTACAGTTTCATTTTATGTAAATGATACTTGATACTGCTGCCAATCTAGAAAGGGTTGTGAGCACAGGAATGCTGATAGGACATATAAATGGTTGCAGCTACGTACTATGGATGTAGCCAGCTTTGCCCAAAGAAAATAGGGGAAAGAGGAGTTTAGTATCTCTTAGACTGCATAGGTAAATCTATGTAAGTTGTCAGGAATCAAGCTTAATATGTATGTATGTATGTATGTATGTATGTATGTATGTATGTACGTATGATACCTCCTGTATGCAACAGTTTCCCCATCCCAAAGTCTTACCTGTGAAATGAGAAAGATTTGGGAAAACAGTAAACTATAGCCAGAGTTCAAAAGAAGAATCTGTGAGCAGGTGTGGACAAGAAGCTGATCTCCTGTTTAAATCCTGCAGATTGCTCCTGTGGAGCCAGGAGGGTTTATAATGCAATGTAGAAGACTCTCATATATATTTTCCTGTGATGGAAAATAGAAGAGTTGCGAGTTGCCAACAAGTGAGGAATGCCTCTAGTTACAGCCGAGTTGTGTTGTGTGTGTGTTTTTTTTAATCCATCTCCTTGTCCCTCATTACTGTTGCAGTATCTCTGACTTATGCAGTCTTCTTTTTCTCTCTGTCCTGCAATCCATGTAAAACCTCCATCAAAGATCACTGAGCTACCTGTTAAATTTACAAGAACAGAGTCTGGGTTTTGTCCACTTCAATCCATTAGAAGGAGAAGACGCAGGAGCTGTGCAAAATATGGTCTTGTACAAATGACAGGAGAGATGGAGGCTGCAACTTGGCAACAAGGCAACCTAAGGCTGCTGCCAAAAATAGCTGTAGCTTTCCTACTCTTCTATCTCTAGTAATGTCTACTAGGGACATAAACCCTGGACATAACATTATCATTTCACTTTATTGGCTGCTGCTGGAAGTGGGGAGAGATTGCCTTTTTTAAAAATCAATAGAGGCAAAGCTGCTGTTTCTAACAGCATCCCCCTGTCTGCTGCAACAGTTTCTTCCAGCCTCCAGGGAAGAAGCTTCTTTTCCTAATAACCCAATCAAACCACTTTCCCAATGCTCTCTAGTGTTTAGAAAGATCTCTTTCTTTCCACAAACATCCACCATTCAAGAATTCCTTTGGAAAACAGATGTTCCCTCTGTCTCAATGATCTGGGCATTTCCCAGATTCCTGGAAACTTCCGCATTTTAATCAGAGTCTGCTTAGAAGGATCTTAGGTCCATGCTTTCCCCAGGACCTGAGTTCCCAGCTTCTCCCTCAGGTTTTTTTCCTCCAAAGGACTCACATCTTCTACCCCCAGAATAGAGGGAAGGACTGGGGTATGTACATGGCAGAAAGCAATTTATGTACATGGCAGAAAACAATTCCTCATGAGAATGCAGTTCCTTCTGCAGCTGGCAAGTAACCTGCAGTATTGTGATTTATCTGGCATGAGGGGCTACATTCACAACTTAACCAGGCAAAGACTTTCTATCCAACTTTTAATCTAGAGAAAGTTCATGAAGGGACCTTCTTTTATCTCATAGTATGGAAAAACACACTATAACAAAGTTATACAGACTATAACACAGTTATACAGACTATAAAAACAGACTATAACAAAGTTATACAAACAGACTATAACACATCCCACTTTTACATGATTTTCTATGAATCTTTCATATTCATAGGGGAGAGAGAGAGAGAGAGAGAGAGAGAGAGAGATAATTTGTTCATAAAGTCAATATAAGTTTACAGTGTCAGGTTAATATTGTTCTCATGTGCAGTATAGGTAAATAGAAAGGAATTCCAAATATGTGGCTTCCCTCTTCTAGGGGCCTCTCCCAAGTATGAGTTAAGGTGCCACCACCATACTTGGGTCAATAGAAAATTATACATAGCATGAAATTGATCATCCCTGTTGGCTATTCTTTTTTTATTGTCTCTGTTTCCAATCACTGCCACTCACCTGACTTCCCTCCAAGCTAATGGGTAACAAAATGTGACAGATTTTACACACCTTGAGGAAGCAAGAAAATGTTGTAAAGATGCATTTGTGCCATGGTCTGATACAAATGAGGACCAGCCTTAGCAAGGGACAGGAACCTTTCATCTGTCCATCCCACATATGGTGAAATCTGCCTAGATCTGTCAGGTTTCCATGTGGCTTAATCTGCTACTGATTAGATTGTACAGCAACAGGATCAATTTTTTTTTCCTCTGTTAGTTTGTATGTGGGAGTAGACGATCTATTTTCATTTGCTTTTACTGTTTCCTAAAACATGATAGGGAACCTTGGTTCAACAGATGTGCTGAATTGTAACTCCCATCAGATCTATCAAATATGGCAATTGATGAGGGATTCTGGGAACTGTAGCTCAACAACATCTGAGGGCCACACATTTCCCATCCCTGAGATAAACATTTCACAATTTCAGGAATGATCTCTTGTTTCCGGGCACTTGTTTTCTGTGGATCATTTTTGGAGTTGTGAGTCACTTTGACTATTTCAGAAGCTTTTAGAAGCTTAGTATTTAAATCTGAAATGGAAGCAATAACACCCACACTTACCTTTTCTGCACTTTTGATATTGAAATCTACATCCTTAATCTCTTGTTGATGGATGGTATAGCTGTTGATATAATTTAGCTTGTTATTATCGTGGGTTAGTCTCAGTTATCATAACAGTATATAACATATAGTGAATGCATTTTCCTTTCAAATGTGAGATAGGCTTTAATACTCCTTTTTCCCAGAAAATCTTGCAAATTATATCTGAGTGAGGGAGAAGTAAGGATCTCTAGCAAAACATTCTCCACACCCTCCCCAAATCTGTTCATAAGATATCTTTGGGGAAGCTGGGTTATTAAACTGGTACAAAACATATACGCAGTCCGTTGTTCGAGTTGATATGTGATTGAGTTATTGAATGTAACGTAATTCTAAGGAGCTTTTCAGAATATCCAATCCCATAATCTGTTCTGGATTATGGCTGATACCTGTACATAGCACATCCTTCATGTTAACCATATTGTAATCAGGACATGAGTTTTAATGAATACAATTCTACTAGCCGGAACCTGCGTGAACTTTCTTAGAAGTAAATTTCTCAGAAGACCCCACTTTATTTCTGAATATGCAAAGGACTGCATATGACTTGCTTTATTTCCAAGTGAACTTCCTGCAGAGAGAAGCTGGCAACTCAAAATCTTATAGAAACAATAAAAAAGAGATGAAGAATGGATAAATTTTAAGCCTGTTTTGCAAACAAAAAGAGACTTTCGTTCTATGGAATATCATCATTAAAGCCCATGCAAAAGACCTCTAAATGTTACAGAATCTTGAAATGGCAAGTTATCAGTGGACAGGCTATTTGAGTGTGGTGTTTGGATTTATTTAGAACATTGAAGACCGGCTGATAGAAGTGAGGAATGAACTGCAGTCTCGTGAAGGCCTCTTGAAGGTGGTGGAACTGGAATGCCAGCAGTTACGAAAGGAAGTGGCCAAAATCGAAGAGTATAAAAACAAAGAAAATCAAGTGAAGTATGTATTGAAACTGTACACCTATGCTTCAAAAGCTGGTTACTTGGGAGTAGATGCATGATCCCCTGTATGCCAGCTTGAGAGTAAGTGTCAGTAGCTTTAATGGCACTTACTTTTAAGTAAGGATGCAGAGCATTCCAGTTTTGATCAAGATATAAATTTTAAGTGCAGAATCCAAATAAAAGTAAATTGCATTTCTTTCAGAATTGATCAGAATGGTTTATACAGTCCACTTTCCCTTAAACTCTCAGAAGTTATACAGATGTTACAGTATGCCATGCCCTCAAGTTGAAGTTTTACATGATTTCCACCACCACCATCCTGGAAGGAGGGGAGAATTTCTCTGTTTTTACCAAGTGTTGTGGTTTTAGTTACATTGATGACCAGAGGCAGTATGTGACTGGCTTCATCCTTATTAGGAATCATCAGGCATATGCAGCCAGATTTTTTTCTATGGAGTGTAAATCCTGGACCAGGAATGGAACTCATGGACCACTGCACTTTAAAAATATATACAGTCCATTAGCTTTAAGAGCTATCCAGGTTCTGATGCTGAGTGGTGTTGCAGGAAGTGATCTATAGAATCTATCAGATTATGTATATACTTTGTCCTGAGTAAAAATCAGTGTCACATTTCTTATGTTCTAGAAGTTTATTTGTAACAAATATAAGAGGAGATATTATTTATCCTCAAAGGATTCTATTGTCCGTTCAATTATCTGGGCACCACTTGCTGAAAATATTAGACAATGACTGCCCTAACCAAAAAGATTGTGTAGAGACTTATAATTTAATATGTACTGTACACTAAAAAAAGTACATCAGGAAAATCAATAAATAAAATTTACATTGTACAATGTAATTGATACTGCACTTTAGCAATAATTTTTGTAAAGTCAGACCTTGTTTTCTTTTATATTTACAAAAATGTATTTTTTATTATAAGTACATTCCTGTGATATATGAATAAGTAAGAAGAAAAGGTCTTGAGAAGAAATTTGATGCATCGGAATTATTGTAGGAGGGGGGAAAAAACTTTTCCTTTCTCAGAAACTGGAAATAATAAGATCTTCCAGAGACACATTTCCTGTACTTTCTGTCCACTTGGCCTTATTTAAATATTTTTGTTCTAAAATGAAGCTTTGGGTGGGGGGCTTGAAATATATTAATGATTTTTTTAATAGGCTTCATTCAGCTTATACACAGTGTATCAAGGATCTGGAAATAAAGAAAACTCAGATACTTGTTCTGGAACAGCAGCAGGACAATCAACAAAAAGAGCTAAACCAGGTATTTTTTTGAAAAAAATATTTCAAAATGTGATCGTATCCAATCTTATTCTGGGGGATGTATTAAGGCCAAATAACTGTCTCAAACCAAGAAGTATTCCAGTAGGAACTTGATGGAATGAACAAGGAAGCCACAGCTGGTTGTTTAATTGAAATAAACCGACCTTTAATTAGAGGTTGCAGGGCTGATGAGAGGTGTTTAACCAAGGGCTTCATGCAGAAATGATTTTTGAGGTGGGGATTGAAGGAAACAAAAGAGATGCATCATCCAGGTATTCAGAAGTTCCAAGTGTACAGGACAGAAAAAACAAGAATACTGAGGGAGCAGGAGATCTTGAGGGTTAGGGTTGATGGAGCAGGAAGAGTAAAGTTCACTAGGAGAGGTGGACGAGGATGTAAGAGCAGACGGATAAGTCGGGCATTGGGTGGGAGGGAAGTTACAAAGGCCTAAGAAGTAGGTATAAAAGGCAAGAGCTATGAAATTGACTGGTTGCCACATCTCTGGTATATTGTCATAAAAGAACTGAAATCATGTATCCTATGGGGATAGCTCACCCCACTCTCTCCTTAGAATATGCCCAATAAACTCTTGGCTTCTTATTTATATCAAGGATAGGAAATCTATGGAGCGTTCAGATATTAATGAACTACAGTGTTTGCATTATTCAACATTAGCTATGTTACCTAAGGCTGCTGGAGGCTGCATCCTTCCCATCTTCAGTAAACCAGAGTATGAGCTTCACTTGGTGAAGCATCTCATATCCTGTTTTTGGCACATGGGAGAGAGGTAATAGCCAAAAGAGAAAAATGTAAGAGAGACTTTTGCATCCTTCCTCGTTTGCTATTCCTAACATATGGGCCATTCCCAAAGAGTCTCGCATAGTGTAATAAGTAGATGGCCGAGGGGGTGGGGATGTATTTGTCATAGATCTGTTCTTCATAAATTACTTATGTGGTAGGGTCATCACTGAAACTCACCTCCTTGTGGGTCTGGACACACCCATGTTTTTGGCCTTCCTGTAGTAATGGGAAGGGATAAATAACAAAGTGGTGGAGCTACCTTGGAAGAACCCTTGAAAACTTTTAAAGTACAGTAGATCTCACTTTTCATTTACCGATCATTCCTAAAGCCATTCAGTTTAAGTAAAGCTTCCTTTTTTTCCCTCAGTACAATTTCAAGTACACACTACTCTGACATATGTACCTAATAGCTCTAATTACTGGTACTTATTACCTTCCAAGTTTTTAGTGATAGAAAATGAAGAAATAGAAAAAGAACAACGTGCAATTATAAGAATTCGGTATAAAGATGAATATGAAGCTCCCAGATCGTTTGAGAGTCTTTTCATAGCTTCTTTTATTTTAACGTTCTGAATTTAGGAGAATTTTTGCCATCTCACTACTGGTTGTTGGCAGGGGAAAAAAAAGGAAGCCCACCATTTTTTTATAATCTTAAGGGAGGACAGAACAGCACTGAAAACGGCAAGACTACAAATAACAGGGCAGCCACTAAATGTGTCTTTTCTCCAAAAGTATTTTAAAAAAATACACTGTCCACATTTACCATGTTTTCTCTTTAATTTACTCCTGAAATTTATTTCTGATTGAATGTAATGTTTTAGCTGCTGATTTTACTTGAAGGACCAGTAGGCTGTTATTGCTAGATAGAAAGTGTTTCCCATGTTAAGGTAGAATGCCTCTTTGGAAGCTCCTCATCTTTTGCCTCTAGTTTACTCTTAGGGAGAACTGACCAGTCCTTCAGCCTCTGAGGTTACTCTGTATCTTCTTTCCAGTCTTGATACGCTGGGACAGAGGACTGCCTTAAGCAGAGTTTAATGATGCCAGTTCAAGAAAGATCTTATATTCAAACATCTGTTTGGGTTTTCAATGCAAGAGGAGTTAAGGAGCTACAACCGGCTCCTACAGAAAGTCCACTTAAAGTCCAACTTCTTTTCCTTGGATCCCACAGTGTGCATACTTTTAAATCAGAGGACTTCCAGGAACTATATTTAGTAATGGCTGAATTCCATCTCTACAAAGAGAATTGTAAAAATAATCCAGATTATTGCTTTTCTTTGCATGTTGATATCAACTGTTCGGAATCACTTTCATATTTATTCCCACATTTATCCTTATGCTGGCTACCGGCTTGGCTGGCTTCGAAAAAGGGTTGGGTCAATTCATGAAAGTCATGGGGGTCAGTGGTTATTAGCCTGGATCTGCAGGTCATCTGCTGGGAGACTAGCAGGCTTCCTTATGCAGTTGGTTGGCCACTGTGAGAACAGATGGCTGGGCTAGATGGGCTGGGGGTCCATTTCAGCTGGGCACTGCTTATGTTCTTAAGGAGAAATCTGACATAGAAATACAGGCTTCCTGAGAGGGGAATAGTACTTAATATATTTAATAATACAGTGATACACAATACATTTTGTGACACCGAGCCAATGGAACATCTGGCCTAAACTTAAAGCATTTCTTTTTTAGTTCAGAGATTTTTTTAAAGAAAGGTTTACAACAACCAATATTGGCGTTCTGCACTCCTGTGCAAAAGCGGCATGCAACTTGCGACTGCAAATCCATTTACTGTGCGATAATTGTACTGAAGTAAAGGAGCTAATCACGCACGGTGCTGAGAACCTCCCCCTGCTGCTTTTATTCCAATTATTTCTTCTAATAAAATACCTTATGTTGGAACCTGAATCTGTTGATGACAACAAGTAATTCCCTCCTGATCGTGTTTTATGCTCAATATCTGTTCACCTATGGGGTAGATGTTGGGAGTGCCACAGAAAAACCCATAAAAACGCTCAAAGTAGTAGCAAAGCTGGTCATTCTGAATCAAGACATTTTAAATTCCTGTGTGCTATCTCTGTATGGTTGGTGTTTAAGAACAGACAGCTCCGAAAGTCACTAGTAGGTGAAAAACGATACCATCTGGAAGGCCGGCTCTCATTGTTCCTTTTTGGGCCACGTTTGCTGCAGATAAGGGACCGACTTTATCGGGAAGAGCAGTCCCATCGCTCTGAGGTGGAGAGACTGAGGATGGAAATCTCTGGCTTGACAGAGGAGCTTCATCAGAAGGAAATTACTATAGCAACTATCATGGAAAATGCCGCTGTGCTGGAAAGGCACTTACAAATGGAGTTAGAGATAAACGAGAAAGCGTTAGGAAAACAACAGGTATGCAGACCGAATAAAACGTGGCTGGGGTCATTTGGTCATTGCAGAGATTAACACCCATTGGCATTTGAAAAGCTGTTACTTGGCACGCTTCAAATCAAAAAATGTGATCTGCTGATGTCAAGAAATGGAGCAAAACGTACAGGATAATATAATTCTGGACCTTATATTATTCCAGAATACAAGCTTTTCAGCACTTCTGTATCTGACTTTTTTCCCCCTGTGACTGGGAGATCTTCCTGAGGTTTTTCCTAGGTAGAATAACTTTTCTAAGCATTGGGTTAAGAAGTAGCTGTTAAAATGTTGGCTTTTTGTGTGCAACTGGAAGTATGGGAGGGAAAGGAGTGTGTTTTCAGGGGCTGGCCCACAAAAGCTTTAAACCGTGAACATAATGATCCACAGTGGTTTATCTCAGAGAGGCACTGGCATTGAGTAGTTCCACCGCTTCTAAAACAGACTCCATGAAACAAGTTTGTGTCTTCTCATAATGATCATTTTAATGTGGTGGGCTAGAAGTTCACATGTACATTTTCTAGATTTAGCAGACCATAGTGACTTCCACCAGTCAATCCTAGGAACTGTACTGTTCAGTGGATTTCCAGTTGTCTCCCTTTCTCAGTTTACACCAGTGTTTCTCAACCTTGGTAACTTTAAGATGTGTGGACTTCCAGCCAGCCATGCTGGCTGGGGAATTCTGGGAGTTGAAATCCACACATCTTAAAGTTGCTAAAGTTGAGAAACACTGGTCTGTACAGACAGACCAAGAGGACCCAGGATCTTCTGGGATACAGGAATTTTGGCTAAAGCAATAACAGCAGAGCTGTCAGGTTCAGCCCAAGAACCACCTTGAGGCCTTCCAGTGCAGAACAGTTCCTTTATTGACTATTATCTAATAGACAGAATCTCGCCAGACTAAACTTATCTACGGCTACTAGAGAATATACTCAGTGAGGCTCTGGGAAGGAGCCAGCCTCATCCTCTTCGTTTTCCTACCGCCTTGTTGCAGACTGAGGAGGTGCTTGCCCTGGAATGTCTCTCCCCCTTCCTGACAACCTTGAAGCTCCATTCCAGAATCTTCCCCACTCCTGTGATCCATCACAAGAGCTGTCAGTGGATGGTGTGTGTGTGTGGTGGAGTGGGGGGGTGTCAAAATCTTCAAGATGTTGGGTGGGGCATCACAGTTCAAGCCCCACTCCTTTTGCAAATGCATTGACAAACATATGGATTGGATTGCAGTGATGTGCCTGTCACCTTGCAGATTTTGAACCCATTCTGTAAATGCCCATCAATTTAAGTATGTAGTAGACATGTTCTCTCAATCTTTCAGTCCAGCTGCTTGACTAGTATCCTGAATATTTCTTCCCCTTCATCCTCTATCCCCCCTCTGTCTCTCTCTGAGGTTTCTGGCTTTAAGGATTCTGAAGAAACAGTGAAAATATATGAGCTTTTTCGATTAAGACTTTTTTGTACATTGTTGTGATATAGAACTTTATGCAACTTACTCCATGATATTTCTAGACTCATGACTGTTTTCCTCTTTCGCCTGCAGCATGGTGTCTTGTGTCAACTTCTGCGGTGGGTTTTGGCCTTCAGTATTCCTGTTTTCGGGTCATTCCTACAGCTCAGGGGTATATCATCCTTCTCAAATTACAATGGGCTTGGTCTTTTTAAGATTTTACCAAGAATTTTGAGGATGAAACTCTATTTTTGTTTGAGAGCTTCAAAGCTTGGAAAGATAAAGGGTTCTAGAAAGCTTTGAAAACCTGGTTTTGGTGCCAGGCCTGGGGTTGATGTTTAGTATTTGTCTAGGACCCTTGTTTTGTTTTGCTGTTTATTAAGTTATTTTAGTGTGGGCTGTATGTCTGATTTGATGTTTCCAGCTGTTTTTATGTTTTTCTAGTTTTGTATGCCACCCAGAGTCCATTGGAGTTGGGTGGCTAATAGATTTATGTTGTTGCTGCTGTTGTTATTGTTATTACATAAATCTGTTATAAACAGTAGTTAAATAAATCATAGCTCTTCCACTGTTTGCCAATTTCCTTTGCCGCTTCCTCACTTTTTCCATGGTCTCCCAAACACACAGCTATACTTGCTCCATTTCTGCAAGAGAGGAATAGCTTTGAAAAACAATTTTTTTCTTGGGTTTATTTCCAATCATGGGAATACCAAGAGGCTTGTAGGGTTCTGTAACAGTTTAATTTATTTACAAAAATACAGACTGAACATAAGAAGAAGTAGAGAGCTTAGGCTAGAGGTGGGACCATCAGGCCCAAAAGTTCCACTGAATTATCCACACATATATTATGCATTTTTTAAAGCTGGGACAGAGAAACCTATGCATAATCCAGCCAGAATGAAGCTTTTAAAGCCCCACTGATTTTGAACCGAGAGAGAGAAATGTGTTGCTTAGGTCCCTACTATTGAATGTGGCAAAATCTAACTTTGATTTTGTCAAGTCCCCGCTTTGCCTCTTAAAATATTTGACTTGGTCATTCTTTTTCATCAGTACCATGACGGGATTTTTTTTTTTTCAGTAGAACCGTGGCAGGATTTTTAAAAGACGTTTTTCCCCCTTTAACGCGACTATATTGCATGTTTATATTTATTTTATCATTTATTAACATTAACTATATAGAAATTTTGAAAGTATTGTTCTGTGTTTGCCTCTGGTGAATGCATAACTTGAGGAAGCATTTTAATGAAAATATTTACAGCTCTAGCAGCCTTCGAGCTCTTTCGTGGCGCTTTAAGGCTTCGAAGGCAAGTGATTCAAATACGTGGAGGGCTTTTTAAAAAACATGGATACAGCCTTGAATACAGGGTTCATTGAGCAAGTGTAATATGTTGTTTTTGTGTTATATAGGCTATTATCTTTTCTACCCATTTGTCTTGCTTGCCGCTTCTAGAGGCAATTCTATTGCTATTATTATTTACAATAAACGCTATATGATTACAAGTGGTATATATATATAGCAAAATTGTTACCTTGTGCCTGTTTCTTTGTAGAATTGCATCAATTCAATTATACCAAAGTTATAAATAAGCTTTTTTTCCCCCTTTACCTTCTTTCCACAGACAATGGATTTATCAAAGAAAGAACACAAAGCCTGTTTGGATTCTGCTGATATGCTGGAGTGTAAGAATGGAAGGTTACACAATGAACTTCTTAAATGTCCAAAGGACACAGACATGCCTTCGTTGGTGACTGCCATTACATACTTTGGAACAAATCATGCCAAGCAGACATCTCTAAAAATGCAGGCAAAGGAAGAGAAGTAGGTACATGATTGTGCACAAGTAATTCTACTTTAGCTCTTAACATTTTTTCTTTATTTTTTTTTCTTTTGTCCTCACTGGGAATGAAAGAGATGGGTATTGCAGTAGCATCACACTTGCCTTGTTGAAGACAACTGCATGTTCATCCTTAGTCCAGCTTTCAGTTTCCAGTAATAACTGACCAAGTGCCTCTGATTTTACATGAAAGCAACAGTTCATCTCCTCGTATTCACTCCTACATTTCAGTAGTTAATATGCAAAACTACTATGCATCTCTGTTGGGAGGTGTTTTTTTACTGATCCATTTTGAGTAGCTGAAAACGTTTCCATAATAACAAAGGTCTTCTCTTCCCCACCCAGGCTTACACAAAGGGAAATGCAAGTGTGGACAGGAAAAAGCAAACTCCAGCTTCAATTCTTAAAGTTTTTATTCTTACCATCATGGGATGGTCATACTAGAGGATGTTTAGAGATGAGCCAAAGCTCACTTTGTAACAGCGTGATGGACGTTTTATTGTCAAGGGGAATACTATAACCCCCAAAGTTCTATTTCTTTACTTCTTTAGTTATGAGATTTATATTTCACCTTTCCTTCAGGAATGGTGGTCTATGTAGGGCTCCCTCCTCCAGTATTTCTCCACAAGAACAACCCTGTGATGTGGATTGGGCTCAGAGACTGTGACTAGCCCAAAGTGGACTTCCAAGGCTGAGGTTGGTCTTGAACTGGGTCTCTCTACTCCTGGTCCTACCCATTCTCCACTACATCACCCTAGCTCTCTTCTGTACATCAGGAAACTTTTTTCAGAAGTCACGTAATCTCCTCACCATCACCATCCTGTGTACTACTGAATTCCAGACATAACCATGTGGGAATGCTTCCTTTTTTCTGTCTCCAAATCCTGCCTACAGATCTTTGTGAATTCACTATTAACTGTGCTCTGTTGTCTAAATCCCTCACGGACCCCTCACTCAGCTCTCTCCTGCATCAATAGAGGTTATTCTCCCATTTTGACTCTCTTCCCACCCACCCATTACAGCTTCCCTTCAGCCTCCCCCACCCACTCACAAGCTCATCTTCTCCCATTTGTTGGCACTTTCCCATTCCAATCTTTCCCTTCAACAGCCGTTCCACCACGTCGGTGCACATGCACTCCATAAACACAGAACGAACACGCTGCAACACACACTCCATATAAGTCAGAGTCAGGGGAGAAAGGAACAATAAAAAGCTGATTTTCCAAGACTGGGCAGGAACCCAGTTGCTCCTGGTCTCCAGTCAGCATGCAGTGAATCAGGAATCTTTTTTCAGAAGTCACACAATCTCTTCGCCATCATCATACTTTGTACTACTGAATTCCAGACATGACCTTGGAATATAGCAGGAGTGGCATGGCAAAATTGCCATGTGATAAGGTTTGTCCAAATAACAGAGGATGGAAAGTCTGCATGCTACTGTCCCAATATTTAGGAGGAAGAAATTTAATTTTTATAAATATAAGCAAACTTTTTGAAGACCAATGTTACATTAAAAGAGTGTGAGTATTTTGCATGTACCTCCTAGTTGGTGGGACGCAGGCAACAGTATGTTGATTTGCATAGTAATCTCTAGATTGGAGAACTTAACTTGCATTGAATAGCATGAGCATGTTGGGATAAAATTGGGTTTTGGCTGCAGTTGAGCCATATGGACCAAAAAGTGCTACAGGTAGTCCTCAGCTTACATCCATTTGTTCAGGGACCATTCAGCGGCACTGAAGAAATGAATGTACGACTGGTCCTTGAAATTCTGGCTATTGCAACAGCCCCGCAGTCACGTGATTGTGATCTGAGTGCTTGTGTGCCTGGCTCACGATTACAACATCACTGGGAGCTGCAGTCATGTGATTGCCATTTGTGACCTTCCCTGCTGGCTTCCCACAAGCAAACACAACAGGGAAGCCAGCAGAGAAGGTCGCAAGTCACTCTAGTAAGTTGCTCCCACTTTTTCTCCTGCCTGCAGCACCCTCCCTGGCCACATGCAGCCTGCACTGGCCCTCCCAGGTCCTCCCCCACAAACTCCGCAGCACCCTTGTGCTCTTTAATGACCCCCAGATCTTGGGGTTTCAGTGGCAACTGGGACTGCCTGTGATTGCTATGGCTAAGCGATGCAGTCACGTGATGTCACACTTTATGACCGCATCAGTTAGTGACAGCAATCCCAGTCTCAATTGCCGTTGTAACCCAGGTACCTATACTATACTTACCTTTAGCAGAATTTTTGCATGGGGGGTGAGGGAGTATAAATAAGTTTGTTAACCTTATCCACACCTTCTTTACCTTACTAAAAATGTGAAAGTCTAGGGTAGGGTAGGAAGATGTGTATTTGTGAAATTCAGAGAAAACAGAAGAATGTAATAGATCTGAATGAAGGTAGTCTGGTCTTGTGGAGTGAGGTTGATGAAGTACATACAGGTTTCACTATAAATGAAGGAGTTAAAATATGTGTCAGCAATTACAAATTGCTGTCATCTAGATTGGTGCATATGAAAATAAGAATTCATAGGTTGGTGCAACATTATACAATGTTTTGAAAAAAGCAATCCAGGGTGATTTTTTCGGTTAAGAAACATGAATATGGGTACATATGGGTAGGTGAGAACCACAGAAAAAGTGATTGGGTCATTGGGAGACCCAAGAATGAATAGTAATGATTATGGTTTGATGAGTATCTACTTAGAAGTTCTCTTTGTTTCAGATAGGTGGTTTAAGCATTAGCCTCTTCACATATACACATGGCAAAAGAATTAATCTAAAAGCAGGATTGATTTGTTTGTTTCTGATGAAAGACTGAAAGAATTAATGAGGATACAAGGGTGATGAGAGGTGTTGAATGGGAAGAACTGAAAGAAATGAGAGTGAAAGTAAAATGACAGCTGGGATAGAAAATGCGAGCCTGTATAAAAAGGTATTAGGAGGTAGATTAATCTTTCCACTGAATGAATGGAAGTGGCCATAAGGAAGGAGAATGTGGAAGCTGCTTGGAGCAAAGTGAAAAGAATTGTGTTACGGAAGAATGTGGAGTTATGCTAATGGGAAATATGAAAAAGGATGCTTGGTAGAACAATGAAGTGAAAGAGGATGCAGATGAAGAAAAATGCCCATAAGAGAATGATTGCTGCACAAAATGAAGATGAAAGAAAGATACTGCATGTGGTGTATAAGAGAAATAATTGCAAAGAACACAGTGAAAGGGGGCTGCTCCCCTGACTGATGTGAAGAGAGCAGGGAGGAGGTATCAGTGGGAGCCAATTAGGCCACTTAAAACACTTACATCTTCCTTCAGCCAGGCCCTGCTACCAACCTGCTTATTTATCCTCTTCAGCTAAGCACTGAAAGCCACTACAGCTGGCACAGGACAGCAGCCATGAGCAAAAGAAGGAAACACCCCTCTTGGTGCAGCATTCAGAAAAAGGAAGCTTTTCTATCAAGACAGGGATGAGCTGCTCTCAGACACACAGAAACAGTATTCACTGCCAGCTTCCCAGCCCCTGCAACCGTGTGAGTGGTGGTGAGATGACTAGTCTTCCAGGTGACCTTACAGCTACTGCAGCATCCAGATCTCCTTCTAAAGTGGACATAGCCAGGCCCATTCCTGCAGAAAAGTGAAGAATTGAGAAAGGTGTGGTAGAGACAGAAGAAACAGCTGCTACTGTACATGGAGTCTAGAAGGTGTAGGATTGTGGACCCACCTGAACACTTTCTTGCACTGCATGGACCACAACAAGTGAAAATCTTCATGTTCCCTAAAGAGAAGGAAAACAGAAGTTTCTGTCCAATACTTTACTGGCATGAAATCCTCAATGGTGTCCTTCAAAGTAGACCAGACTAGGAAACCAAAGTTATGAATGCTAATACTACTTTTATTATAAAGCTACAGTAACAGAATCTTGCAAGTCTAAATGTACTTTCCCCCTTCCCCCCTTTATCTTCAAGAGAACTAGGGAGGGCTGAGCCTGAGAGGCTTTCTCAAATTACATTTCTGCCTCTGACTCAAATTTCTTTTATCTGACCATTGTCTTGTTTGCGGCTCTTCCTCCTGCTCCTCAAGGTTCTTCCATTACAAATTGTGACAACTGGAGAGGTCACACTTATGTACTCAAACATCTAGAACGTTACATACTAAGTTGGTTGCATACTTTTCCAGTCTAATGTTTCAACCACATTAGGTTCTACAGAAACAAAACACTGGGATACCTGGCTACAAATCTCACATGCTATAAGAAGGCAGCAAATCGCAGAGATGAGATGAGTATGAAGAGAAGATTGCATCAGAGTCCCTTTACTGGCAAAATGTTTCTGAAAAGGCTTGTTGCTACTGTGAGAATGTTTACTACCCAAAATCTAGCACTGGATGGTATTTTAAATCACCTGTACGTGCCAAACAACCAGACGTTTCTTAAAATTGTAGAGCTGATGGCTGAGTTTGATACTTTGCTCCAGAATCATTGCCCAAGAAGTCTACATGTACAACTACTTTGGAAAAAAAGTTTAAAATGTGTAATGGTATCTGGAAATGACTTTGGAAGATGGGAGGGAGAGCCACAGAAAGGACAACTGGTGTGTTAAAGATGTCTCAGCTCACAGAAGAGGGGATGATGTGGGAAATCTTTCAGAAGAGAACCTCCCTTGTTTTCCAGGGAGTAAAAGGAAAGGAGAGGAGATATGCCTCAGTCTTGCAAGATTCTGTTAATATAACCTTACAATAAAAATAGAACAGTACTTCTGGTTGTGCTTCTTGTCTGGACTACTTTGCAGGGCTAACAAAATCAGATCATACTGTTATTGACAACAAAAGTCCAACAGAAGATCATAGTAGTAGATCTGAAGTCAGTGAGCTATTACTTTGCTATTCTGGACTGCACACCTGAGATTAGCCATATAGAACAAATGGCTTTAAGGATGCATTTTGTAGCGAGAGAACCTAGTAAAAATGTCCTTGTGATGGTGATTGCCAGAGCAC